ATTGCTAATGATGATTAGCGCATAAAGTAATTTGTACTTTTAAGTTGAATTCTACAAACATTGTACTCAATTTCGAGCTTCTACTCTTTGTTGTGCAATAACAATTGAAGACGTCACTACTTATTATAATATTTTTTTGTTTGTTTTTTTAATTTTCACTTTTTTTCTTTGTTTTAAATATAAATCTCTTATTTTTTTTGTTAAATATTATGAAATATTTAATTTTGCGTACACAATTCTATTTAGTAGAGTTTTTTTGTTTTCGTTCGTCGGTCAGTCTTTAACTGGGCAGTCAAAGTTATAGTCACAGCTGCAAAGTGTTGCCCCAAACAAATTCATCAAATCACATGTCGTGTGCGCAAAGTTAATAACACCACAGAAACATCATTAATTAATAGACAATTAATCAAACATGCAATAGTTTTGTACCAAAAATAAACAATTAAATAATTTACATAAAATTTTAATTGAACAATAACATTATTTTTGTTTGGTGTTTAAAAGTTCAAACGAATTAAGTACATACATACGTTCTTATATAGCGTTTGTCCGTCTTACGTTCTACCTACGGAAGTATCCAAATCGTCATTAGCACTTGAACAAAAAAATCAAACATTTGTATTGTTTTTCCCCCACTTGAGATTAATATGTGAGTATTTTTTGTATTTAAACAATAACAACAACAAATGGTAGCAGAAGTGTGCGTAAAATTATTTTAATTAAATTTATGGTTTTAGTTTTTTATTGCTTGTGTGTACTTTGTCGGCTCATATCTTTCATTATTAGTTATAAATATTGTTGTCTTAGTCCCCTAGTGCGATTTGAACGTTTTTATATACCCTACACCAATATAATGGGCATTGTGCGTTTGTGTAAATGTTTATAACACCCAAAAATTATGAACCCATATTCACTCTAAGGTATAACAAACATGTCATTTATGTCGATTTATGTCAATAAGTGTCTGGCATACAATCTGTCTTGGACCAAAGAACGGGCCCTGTTAATATTGATGAAATTTGGACGATTTCATTCACAATCTTCAAATATGTAAGTAATGCTCAAATTGTAATCAAATTTAGCAAAAAGTTATTCTAAGTATCCAAAATTCTGAAGAGGCTTAAGACGGTTTATTACCATACATTTTGTGAGAATCGCTCCCATATAAGTAGTATGTATAGGGGCTACGAACTATAATGACCTTCTTCTGAAAATCTATACAAAACATTCTACCTAAAACCACTATAGTAGAAAGGATTTATTTGTGCTGATGTTTGTAGCTCGCAAAATATTGTTTCTAGATCTACCTTAAAGTATTAAGCGCAGGTCATCGATTATCCCTTAGCCCATGTAAACGCCGCAATTTTTAAAATAATTCGATAAAATTTAGTAGACGTATAACGGAAGAATCGATCCATAGTTTAATATAACCCCCATATAAATGTCTACGAAATTTCACTTAAATTAAATGAGATACTACCAATTTAGCGAGAACACTCGGATGCCATTGGTCCATTGTGTTAAATTAGTATTATTACACCTTTACATGGCTGGTCTTTTTATGCCTATGGTTCCAGAGAGATCCAACAGTTAAAAATTTTTATTAGATTCCTTAGTAACTGTAACGGCAGACAGTACAAATCATGAAAGAGATCGCAGTCTGGGCTCTTGTAGAGTGGAGAACATAAAATGTTTTGTAACGATAAAAGGTTTTTAACTGAATCTTCAGCGTAGCACACATGAACTGTGCTGTTTATAAGAAACGTTAATGAATTGCTATTAAGATACAAGAGAGTCAAGAACCTTTTCCGAGAACATACAGGAACGGATCATTTTAGATATTCTACAAATTTTGGTTCCGATTGTTCTTCTCTTTTGCAAAAACTTCTACGTCTAGTGCGCAGTGGGCATGACTGTAAGAAGCCTTAGTGCATGAATTTCTATTGAAGGCCATGAATGTCAAAGTCCCATTCCGAGGAAGACAAAGACCAAGCATTTTACTTATTCTGCAAATAGTAATAGTGGACCATTATAGTTTTCTGTTGCCCATTCGTTAATCTTATTTAATACCGCGGGCAGGGTAGTATAAATCTCCCTTTGTGAAACAGTTTCGTGTATAGACTATCTATTAATTAAGCTTTTCCCTTCCCACCGTCAACCGCAAAACTGTGTGGAACTGTTTTTAGGTATTACTTTGCAGGACTGGTTAGCCTGTGTTTCCTTTCGTATTTGTTTCCTCGTGTCGTAGGCGAAGATTTACTACAGTTATAAAATTTATGACATGCGACTTTCTTGCATGCATATTCCAAGTGGCCATTAGCTGGCAAATTCATTTCTACAAATTGCCACAAATGAATGTAATTGAGAATGCATTTCGGCCTTATCACGTTTGAGGGATGGAAGATCAACTCGTTATGTTATATGTTTCCCCGTGGTCGTATCGATGGCCTAAATATCTGAGTGAAAAACACTTTATATGTTAGGCAATGCAAACGATACTAAGAAACCGAACTGATTGGAGGAAATTCTCGAACCAGAACCCATAAAAGCTTTTTAAACGTCTGTGTAGACTGAAATCTCGTGAACAATCTCGAAAGACAATTCTGATTAGGAAAGTTCTATCAAAGATTGGTGTAGGTATTATATAATACATCTATGTACATATATATATACATATGCATTAATCCATCTACAGCAGGTACGTATAGCCATTATATTCAGACTGACCTGAGGCGTGATGCGATATAATGTGTCAAGTTTGGTAAGCAGAACTGGCGCTGTGATATAAATCCAACGTAATGCAGGATATGCTCGAAACATCCGATGTAGGGTATCATATGGTTGTACATGCCACACTAAACTTTCTCATTTTTGATGTATACACACATACACACGTAGATAGCTATATACATGAGTTAATATTGTTTTTTGTTATTAAAATGTGTTTAAATTTAATTACATTATTTAGTTTTTATTGACAATATAAAACTGCTTTATTGACAATATTGATGACCGGGTTAAATTTAATTGTTTAATAAGAAATATGTACATATAACAAAATTATTAAATTTAATCGAATTAATTAGTTTAAAAAGTGATAAAAGTTTTCAAAGTAAATTTTAATAGCAGCAAAACATTCATATAAAGGATTTAGATCAATAAATAAATATATAGTACAATTGAATATTGGTTTTGCTGTGAATGCTATTTCCAAATATCAATAGTTTTAAATCATTTTTTAGCTTTATCTAGTCCGTAGTTTAAAAAATTTGTGTCAAAAAGTTTGAATAATCTTTATAATCAGAGGACTACATTTTCAAATGTTTAGCGAATTCGGATCACGGTATTAACACCAGAAATTATTTAGAACAAAATTAAACAAAATTTACCAGCCAACACAAGTAAGAGTGCTATATTCGGCTATGCCGAATCTTATATACCCACCATCAAACCTCGTTTGACTCGAATGAAACTTACTTATGTCGAATTTCATCTATATACTCGTATTTTTAGGCCAGTTAAAGGCGTTGAAGTAATTTTCTGAAGGGGTCCTTATAAAGGGCGGTAGGGTCAATTATGGGTCGATCCTCATAAAATTTGGTTCGTATTAAATTTATTTGTGTCGAATTTCATCACTACACACGTATTTTTAAGCCATTAATGAGCGTTGCAGTCATTTTCTGAAGGGGACCTTATATGGGGGGTAGGGTCAATCATGGACCGATCCTCATAAAATTTTTTAGATAGATTTTGACTCGTATGAAACTTACTTATGTCGAATTTCATCTATATACTAGTATTTTTAAGCCAGTAATGAGCGTTAAAGTCATTTTTTGAAGGGGACCTTATATGGGGGGTAGGGTCAATTATGGGCCGATCCTCATAAAATTTTGCATAGTGATTTTGGTTCAGTAGAAACTTACTTATGTCGAATTTCATCGCCATATTCGTATTTTTAAACAAGTTATGGCTGTTAAAGCTGCTTTTCAAGGGGCCACTTGTATGGGGGCTATCCGAAAACGTGGACCGATATTGCCCATTTTCAATACCAAACAAACCTTACCTATAAGAAATATTTATGTGAAATTTCAATCCTCTAGCTCTTTCCATTCGGACTCTATCGTGCTTTCAACAGACAGACAGACGGAAGGACGGACGGACGGACAGACATGGCTAGATCGTCTTAGAATTTAACGAGGACCCAGAATATATATACTTTTGTGGGTCTATGACCAATATTTCGAAGTGTTACAAACGGAATGACAAAATCAATATACCCCCCATCTTTTTTGATGGTGGGTATAAAAATAGGTTGGACCTGTAGAATAGTTTCCATCAAAATATTAGAACAACTTTGTTTGGACTTTTTACAACAGGCTGGATCCTACAAATCAGCTAACAGACTAATCAACTAGTTTAAACGATTGCGCAAAAATTTTCCCTAATTCCATTTCATAACTCTAACTTGTTTAACAAGAATTTTACAATAAAGTCTAATTAAATAGCTTTGCAAAACTTTGTATAAAAATAAATTACAAATCGAAACTGTAATTTAACTTGAACATGATTTAATTACCACTTTATATCTGAACTTGTACAGATACAAACAATTGAATTGAAAATCCATATAGAAATAAATCTAAATGCAATTAGTTTTGAGACAACAACAAATAAATTGATCAAGATTTAAATCTAGTTTGCGAATATACAGCCACCATCATCATCTAGTAGTAGAGGTTGCCATTATAAAGTAAAATCAATATATAATTATAGAAATATGTATCTATTTAAAATCTGTACTACCAGTACTGGTTTTGTAAACAGACAAAAATAAGAACCACAAAAATCTAAAATTTAAATTCAATTTAAACGCTACTTTTAGCTCCGGCGATTAACAACGATCGCACAATTGATACTTTATAACGAGAGACAAGCAGAAAATTAAAAAAATTTTATAAATAAATATTAATTGTTTAATTCCATTTAATTTCATTTTCAAGATTAAACAAACCTAATTGAAGCTGTGAGCTGAGTTGAGAGCAGCGGAAAAAGTTCCACTTCAAACGACAGCGACCCCACTAAATGGTGTTATCAGAGACGAACGGTGACAGTGGGTCAGAGAGTGTGGAATAAGAAAGACATGAAATCACTGTATTCCGAAGCAAAACAACATTTAAGCAATTGTATGCCGGCATCGTCCACTTCTAATGCGAATACAAATGATAAACATGAACTTGGACATGAATACAATTATGACAGCGCAAATGGGGATGTATTCAGCGCAGATGATGAGTGTGTTAGTGGTGGTGGTGGTGGCAGCGGTGCTGGGGATCGCGATCATGAAGCGATGACACGCAGAGACAGTACTTTAAATTGTCATCGTAGACATTCACAGACAACGCCCCCCACAATAGGGCTAAATAATAATTTCATTACAAATGCCACAACGTATGACACGCTGCAGAAACCATTTAAATATGATAAACTAAGAGGTCGCTGGTCAACGGCCGCTGACTTTTATTTTGCCTGTACTAGTCATGCATTTGGAACAATTGTATTTTCCGAATTAACACTATTCGTATCGTCGTTTTTGGGAGGTAAGTTGACTAATACACATACGATTTTGCCTATATCGAAAAAGAAACTATTTTGAATGTTTTGTAATACTAATTGTGCAGTAATTTTGAGGGATTAATCAGAGTAAATAAAATGGGAATATGTTTGCAATATCGTTTCGATTCACGAGCACAGTTGCATCTGACGTCGACTATCTCATTAAGGGAACATTAGTCCTTTTATTAGAGTTGAACATTTTTATATAACTTTTACATATTTAATATCGGAAGCTTGTGAGTCGCTGATCCTTGATCTTAGACCATGTGGTCGTTGGTATTTCGGCTCTTGTCTGAACTTCAGTACAGTTGTATCAGACGTTGAGAATGCTGTTGAGAGGACATGGAATCAATCATAGCCCTTCGGTGTCCGTATCGGTGTAGCAATTACTTCGAGAGCACATATAAATCCCTCTCTTTAACTAGTCCCAGCCTAGCACGAGTAAAAAGATACTTGCCATCAAATTCTTCAGGGTGCAAGCGATTATGTGATCCACTCTTTTATTATTAGTTAGTTAGTTAGCCTTCTGCTTTATTATAATGGTCTTCTAGTATTTTGCCTGGCAATACCGGCATAAGATGGTGACTCTTTTCCTCTTTTAGCGCCTCTCTCACTTTTCCGTGTTAATAAGAACTTACATTCAGACGCCTTTAACATCGGGGTTGATTTGTCTGAAGTGCTCAATAACTAGGCTTTGGCAACCCTCAGCAACTCAGAGAATTCTATCTAGACGCTTCTTCTACTTCCCCTTTATTCCGTCTATAACCGGTTTTTATTGGTCGATAACTTGAATATGCTATTGATCGACTTCTATAATATCAGCTCCACTTTATCCTTTTGGTATTAGGTATGCTGAAGAAAAACTCGAAGTCTTCTAAAAGTACATCTTTCTCCTTCACCTCTACTTTTTGTCAGGAATTTTCCGCCACAAGAACTAAAATATTGTCCTCCGTAATATCCATACTAATCGCAAATAGGTCAGTCCTTGGTTTGTCTGCGTGAAATACAAGACTCCCTAAAATTGGTTCTTTAAAGCGATATCTATTCTGATATAGGGCAGAATATCTCCTCTCCTTTCTGCCACCTTAGTTCTACGGTGGTCTTTTGAGGCGATACCCTAGTTGGGAGAGAACAGAATATCCATCACCAACCTCTAACTGTCAACTGGGGACGAGCTTTTATTACATTTGATTTAAATCTACTAACATTGCAAGTGACAGGAAAGAACTCTGGGGGAAGCGGTGAAATCGACACAATTAGCACGACCCCATTCTTAGATTGCCACTAGCTTCATTGCCCAAATCGCCAAAGGGATTGGCCTATAACTTAATGAAAAATAATGGCAGATGTTGCTATATCAACTCTTTTTCAGATTATATGTAATATGGAAAAGAGTAGACACGGTTGGAAGTCCGACATAGATTTCATTTATAAGGAAAGTGTACAACAAATTTCAATTGGGCCAGGAGACTCTCCCTTTTTGAAGATTGGAGTAACATTAGCCATCTACCAGCAGGGAATTCATCGACATGATATAGAAGGCTCAAAAGATTTGCTAATGGGCGAGTTACCGTAGAAGAGTACTGACTGAAAGACCAGAATTGGAATGCCATACTTCCCCCAGGGGCATGTTATCTTGGTGAAATCTCCATCTTGGTGTTATTGCAATATCCCGGGGAAATTGGTAGCACCCAATACCTCTATTCTACCGGGACTATAAACTGGTGATGATTAAATGTATCCTCGGCCTTTCATTGGAATGATTTGATTTGGGGTCGAACCAGAGCACCATATAATCTGGCACTACGGGTGGACAGTTGCTTGCAGGACTTTGTCCTGCCTGGTCGATTGGTTGATATTTTTTCGGGATCTACGTAGTGGCTGTGGGTTATACCCAGATTTGCTGTGAGAGAATGTTGGTTTAAGGAATGATATATCCTATGCCGTATACTTATATCTGGATTCTCTCTTCGGTACTGCTGCCATCTCAACAGATGTCACTGGGTGATATGACAGAGCAACTTATGCCGGATTCCTGAACCCGTTGAGTATCTCTTACTCTTCGCGTAGTAGGACGCCAGTATAGTTTGGGGAATGGACACTTGGTAGTTGCCTGTCATTCTTTATGATCTGAGAATGGAACTGATGTAAATTGGTAAATGATCGGGAAAGACTCCTCTGCCCGACAGGAGACTAGTACTTATCTAGAAGGCTTTTTACTTCAGGGAAATTCTTGGTGCTGTTGCCATCTCAACAGGATGCATATTGTTTCATGCTACACGATTTATGGTTGATACCCACCACTCAACTTGTCGGGGCAATTATTGGACTCGAATTGTCTTTGGAAATTCCTACATTTTTCGTCACATTATCTCGACATACTGAAGGATCCTGATTTATTGGCTGGGTATTTGGGACCTTCAAATATACTTCTAGGTGCAGTAGCCGAATAAACAGGGCCATCTCAGTAGTGTGGCTGCGCGGGTATTAGATAGCTCGAGTACTTCACCAAAGTGCTTGTACATGGACCGACGCAGCCAGGTACAAAAATTGCCACCTGGTTTCTTCATAGAAAGATTCACGTTAAGCACTTAGAAATTCTTGGCCCAGTATACTTATATATTTTGAGATCCGCTAATACCCTTTTAACTTAAAAGGAATACTTTTGGTAGAGTTATAAATGCTCTTTCGGCTAAAAGGTTAGCTTTATCAATCAGTGTCAGTGAAGGATTGACCCCCTTATCAGAGTCTTAACACGTTATAGGACATTGGAGCCCAGAAACACTTATCTTCGAATCAAAAGCTTTTAAAATATACATATAACAAATACAACTCAACATAAAATTGGATTTTGAATGAATTATACTAAAACATTTCCATTTTGTATACTTTTCAGGATACGGCTTAATACCCTATTTACTCGGCATCCTTTTATATGCCATACCAATATTTGGTATACAAACATTTCTGGGACAATTCTCGTCATCGGGTACCATAACGGTATTTCGAGTAGCACCTATTTTTAAAGGTAAGTATAACCCAACAAAAAACCTCCCTCTATTAATAACATAAAAATATAATATCAGTTTTCATATTCTGGAAAAATTACAGGCATAGGTTATTCCATTTTACTACATAATCTAGCATCATTATCTTACTATGCCATCATTGCTGCAGTTCCTTTAGTCTATGCTGCCAATTCATTACATTCTGTGATACCATGGATGAGTTGTAATAACACATGGAACACTGTCAACTGTTCAACTCATGACTTTTATGATGAAGATGTAAGTAGTTAAATAGTTTTAATATAAATCACCTATTAACAAATTTTGGATCTCGTTTTCTTATAATTTTAAAGGAGGAAGAGTTATTTCCTCATGCCACAGTGGAGTTCTTTCGGTGAGTTTTGATTTTGTTATATTTAAAGTTCTGTTCTTAGAGTAAAATGTTAATTAGTTATAGTTTTCTATTCTCTTTTCCGCTTAAAGCTCCATTATACGTTCGGATGATAATTCACCGAATCCTTTATCGATCTCTTGGCCCATTTTATGTGCTGTAATTGGTATTTGGTTACTAACCATGTTGGTACTTTTAAAAAGAGTTACTTTCGTAAGTATCGAATTTAGTTCCATGATCAGATAATGGCAGCTATTAAAATGTCTCCTTTTCTAGATAGGAAAATTCCTTCGCTGTTTATGTATCCTAATGATGACATTCTTTTTTGCCATCTTTACACATTTACTGATGCATGTTGGTTTTACGTGGGAACATTTGTTGGACTATTTAAAACCCTATGTCTATACGGACAATCACTCCGCCATTTGGGCTGGTATGAGAGCAGCTATTATAATGCCCATGTGGCTTTTGGGTCCTGGCTGTGGCAGCGTTTTACAACTGGCTAGTCATAATCGATTCCGTCATGATAGTGAGAAAACTACGTACTGGATTGCCTTCACGTTCCTGATTATGACTCAAATGGCTGCGCTATGTTCTCATATAGCTTTTGATCATTTCGAGGGTAAGGAAATAGATGGGGAGCAAAAAACCTTGATTAAGATCGAACCATCAGGATTTATTGAGGATTTTAAACAGAAACTTTATTAAAGATATCATTCTGATCTTATGATCTGATCCATATGATCTCCGAGGTTTCTCTTTAAATTTATATGTAATATTGACATAATTTTTTGTCACTCCTTACAGATCATGTCGCAATATTACATGACCAAATTGAGGAGCAGCACAATATGCGTTTCATTTACATCTGCTATGCCTACCTGTTCGGCAGCTTTCTCAGTCTACCCAATCTGTGGAGTTTTCTCTTTTTTGCCATGTTATTTTTTGCAGAACTTTCGGCTGTGGTTAGTATTTTGGTATAAAAATTAAGAACCCTGTTTTCATATATATATTTTTTTATATAAATTTCAGATAATCCAAATGATGACCGTTTTAACGGCCATATTTGATGAATTTGAAAAATTACGAACGAAGAAGACAAGTATTACAATTGGACTGGTTTTAGTAATGCTTTTAATTTCAGTGTACTTTTGCACAAAGGTAAGATAGAATATTTATATCAGCTATTGGTTAAGCTACGTTAAGTTTAGTGATTTTTTCGGGTACATATTGTAAATGATCCCGTGGTATGCACTACATAGAAATATTAAAGATGCATTCCTCTATGTGCAACATTTTTGAAGTGGTAACCCCACTTCAAATATGTTCTACTCTTAATATCAGTATTACATTGCATGTCCTTAGTATAAAGTATTGAGAATACAGATTACATGACGGTATCAAAAACAGGCTAAATGTCGCACATTCGCACATATAAACAAAGAATACAATGTTCAACACCAAATTTGTTTAGATTCGATATAATCCACACGGTATTTATATTTCTAAAAACTTCCTCAAAATTCAGAACTAATTAGTACTTCTCATCTTTCCATATAAATATGACCACAACAAGATTCTGAATTTTCCATCTTAACTGTCAAGCAGATCATCCGATGGTGTTGTGAATTAATGGAGCACGATTTGAATTACTCTTCCTACTCCATTATAGATTTAGCAACCTCATCAACTCCCATTTGATCAAATAATTGACAAACAAATTAACAATAGGGATAATTCAAATCTAGTTCAGTTAAAATTAGTTTTAGTTCAGTGCTAAATCAGTTCTAGTTTTGTTCTAGTTCAATTTTATTTTAGTTCTAGTTCTGTTCAAGTTCAGTTCTAGTTCAGTTGTAGTTCATTTCTAGTGTAGTTCTTGTTCAGTTCCAGTTCGGTATTAGTTCGGCTCTAGTTTATTTCTAGTTAAGTTCTAGTTCAGTTCTAGTTCTGTTCTAGTTCTGTTCTAGTTCTGTTCTAGTTCTGTTCTAGTTCTGTTCTAGTTCTGTTCTAGTTCTGTTCTAGTTCTGTTCTAGTTCTGTTCTAGTTCTGTTCTAATTCTGTTCTAGTTCTGTTCTAGTTCTATTCTAGTTCTGTTCTAGTTCTGTTCTAGTTCTGTTCTAGTTCTGTTCTAGTTCAGTTCTAGTTCTGTTCTAGTTCTGTTCTAGTTCTGTTCTAGTTCTGTTCTAGTTCTGTTCTAGTTCAGTTCTAGTTCAGTTCTAGTTCAGTTCAAGTTCTGTTCTAGTTCAGTTCCAGTTCAGTTCTAGTTCAGTTCTAGTTCAGTTCTAGTTTAGTTCTAGTTCAGTTCTAGTTCAGTTCTAGTTCAATCCTAGTTCAGTTCTAGTTCAGTTCTAGTTCAGTTCTAGTTCAGTTCTAGTTCAGTTCTAGTTCTGTTCAAGTTCTGTTCTAGTTCAGTTCCAGTTCAGTTCTAGTTCATATCTAGTTCAGTTCTAGTTCAGTTCTAGTTCAGTTAGTTCAGTTAGTTCAGTTCTAGTTCAGTTCTAGTTCAGTTCTAGTTCAGTTCTAGTTCAGTTCTAGTTCAGTTCTAGTTCAGTTCTAGTTCAGTTCTAGTTCAGTTCTAGTTCAGTTTTAGTTCTAGTTCAGTTCTAGTTCAGTTCAGTTCTAGTTCAGTTCTAGTTCAGTTCTAGTTCAGTTCTAGTTCAGTTCTAGTTCAGTTCTAGTTCAGCTCTAGTTCAGTTCTAGTTCAATCCTAGTTCAGTTTTAGTTCAGTTCTAGTTCAGTTATAGTTCAGTTCTAGTTCAGTTCTAGTTCAGTTCCAGTTCAGTTCTAGTTCAGTTCTAGTTCTAGTTCAGTTCTAGTTCAGTTCTAGTTCAGTTCTAGTTCAGTTCTAGTTCAGTTCTAGTTCAGTTCTAGTTCATATCTAGTTCAGTTCTAGTTCAGTTCTAGTTCAGTTCAGTTTTAGTTCAATTCTAGTTCAGTTCTAGTTCAGTTCTAGTTCAGTTCTAGTTCAGTTCTAGTTCAGTTCTAGTTCAGTTCTAGTTCAGTTCTAGTTCAGTTCTAGTTCAGTTCTAGTTCAGTTCTAGTTCAGTTCTAGTTCAGTTCTAGTTCTAGTTCAGTTCTAGTGCGTAGGTCTAGTTCTAGTTCAGTTTCTAGTTCAGTTCTAGTTCAGTTCTAGTTCAGTTTCTAGTTCTAGTTCTAGTTCTAGTTTCTAGTTCTAGGTCTAGTTCAGTTCTAGTTCAGTTCTAGTTCAGTTCTAGTTCAGTTCTAGTTCAGTTTCTTAGTTCAGTTCTAGTTCAGTTTCTAGGTTCAGTTCTAGTTCAGTTTCTAGTTCCAGTTCTAGTTCAGTTCTAGTTCAGTTCTAGTTCAGTTCTAGTTTCAGTTCTAGTTCCAGTTCTAGTTCAGTCAGTTCAGTTCTAGTTAGTTCTATTTTCGTCTAGTTCAGTTCTAGATTTCAGTTCTAGTTCAGTTTCTAGTTCAGTTCTAGTTCAGTTCTAGTTCAGTTCCTAGTTCAGTTCTAGTTCAAGTTCTAGTTCAGTTCTAGTTCAGTTCTAGTCGTTCTAGTTCAGTTTCTAGTTCAGTTCTAGTTCAGTTCTAGTTCAGTTCTAGTTCAGTTTCTAGTTCAGTTCTCGTTCAGCTCTAGTTCAGTTCTAGTCAGGTCTAGTTCAGTTCTAGTTCAGTTCTAGTTCGGTTCTAGTTCAGCTCCTAGTTCAGTAGTTCAGTTCTAGTTCAGTTCTAGTTCAGTTCTAGTTCAGTTCTAGTTCAGTTATAGTTAGTCAGTTCAGTTTAGTTCAGTCCTAGTTCAGTTTAGTCAGTTCTAGTTCAGTTCTAGTTCAGTTCTAGTTCAGTTCTAGTTCAGTTCTAGTTCAGTTATAGTTCGTCTAGTTCAGTTCTAGTTCAGTTCTAGTTCAGTTCTAGTTTCAGTTCTAGTTCAGTTCTAGTTCAGTTCTAGTCAGTTCTAGTTCAGTTCTAGTTCAGTTCTAGTTCAGTATCTAGTTCAGTTCTAGTTCAGTTTCTAGTTCAGTTCTAGTTCAGTTCTAGTTCAGTTCTAGTTCAGTTCTAGTTCAGTTCTAGTTCAGTTCTAGTTCAGTTCTAGTTCAGTTCTAGTTCAGTTCTAGTTCAGTTCTAGTTCAATCTAGTTCAGTTTCTAGTTCAGTTCTAGTTCAGTTCTAGTTCAGTTCTAGTTCAGTTCTAGTTCAGTTCTAGTTCAGTTCTAGTTCAGTTCTAGTTCAGTTCTAGTTCAGTTCTAGTTCAGTTCTAGTTCAGTTCTAGTCTCTAGTTCAGTTCTAGTTCAGTTCTAGTTCAGTTCTAGTTCAGTTCTAGTTCAGTTCTAGTTCAGTTCTAGTTCAGTTCTAGTTCAGTTCTAGTTCAGTAGTCAGTTCTAGTTCAGTTCTAGTTCAGTTCTAGTTCAGTTCTAGTCAGTTCTAGTTCAGTTCTAGTTCAGTTCTAGTTCAGTTCTAGTTCAGTTCTAGTTCAATTCTAGTTCAGTTCTAGTTCAGTTCTAGTTCAGTTCTAGTTCAGTTCTAGTTCAGTTCTAGTTCAGTTCTAGTTCAGTTCTAGTTCAGTTCTAGTTCAGTTCTAGTTTAGTTCTAGTTCAGTTCTAGTTCAGTTCTAGTTCAGTTCTAGTTCAGTTCTAGTTCAGTTCTAGTTCTGTTCAAGTTCTGTTCTAGTTCAGTTCCAGTTCAGTTCTAGTTCAGTTCTAGTTCAGTTCTAGTTCAGTTCTACTTCAGTTCTAGTTCAGTTTTAGTTCAGTTCTACTTCAGTTCTAGTTCAGTTTTAGTTCAGTTCTAGTTCAGTTCTACTTCAGTTCTAGTTCAGTTCTAGTTCAGTTCTAGTTCAGTTCTAGTTCAGTTCTAGTTCAGTTCTAGTTCAGTTCTAGTTCAGTTCTAGTTCAGTTCTAGTTCAGTTCTAGTTCAGTTCTAGTTCAGTTCTAGTTCAGTTCTAGTTCAGTTCTAGTTCAGTTCAGTTCTAGTTCAGTTCTAGTTCAGTTCTAGTTCAGTTCTAGTTCAGTTCTAGTTCAGTTCTAGTTCAGTTCTAGTTCAGTTCTAGTTCAGTTCTAGTTCAGTTCTAGTTCAGTTCTAGTTCAGTTCTAGTTCAGTTCTAGTTCATGCCTAGTTCAGTTCTAGTACAGTTCTAGTTCAGTTCTAGTTCAGTTTTAGTTCAGTTCTAGTTCAGTTCTAGTTCATATCTAGTTCAGTTCTAGTTCAGTTCTAGTAGTTCCTAGTTCAGTTCTAGTTCTAGTTCAATTCTAGTTCAGTTGTAGTTCTAGTAGAGTTCGAGTTCTCATTCATTTATAGTAGAGTTTCAGTTTCAGGTAAGTTATAATTCATTTCTAGTTGAGTTCTAATTAAGTCCCTATTCAGTTCTAGTTCAGTTCCTTATTTGTGGTTCTATTTCATTCATAACTTTTTCATTATTTATTCTCACATACATACATAGCTTTTAACATTTCTTCACCTTTTATCTATTTCCAGCAAGGTTTCGAACACCTCCATCTACTCCCAGACATTGTAGCTGTCACACACTTGACAATTTCCATACTCCTAATTGTAATTACGACTTGGATATATGGCCGTGAACGTTTCCAGTGTGATTTGCAATTTATGTTGGGCAAAACGATATCAAATTTTAAAATTAACATATTACTGCGTTTTGTGACACCCTTCTTTATAGGCTGTGGCATTGTAAGTATTCCCAAGTGATTGTTAAATTTGAATAAACATAATTAAAAATACGCCTCCTAATTTATTATTTCTAATCTTTTAATTTTATTGGATTTTTATTATTATTTTCACTTTTTTTAATAGGCACAAATTATCTTCTTCACCAGCGATCCGCCCTCTGTCCTCATTTTGTTGACACAAAGTTTTATTTACATTGTGGTGCCCCTGTATATGATCTATAAAATCACTCAGACTACGGGTTCCTTCAAGCAGCGCATTCGTCAGTGTTTTGCGCCTCACGACTGGCATCCCGTCGATGCTGACAATCGTCGTTTTTATGAGGAGATAATGGGCACCTCTGAAATGCTCGTCATTTTGAATAATGAGCATCAAATTTGTTGATTATTTCAAAATATTTATGAGATGCGAGATATGAAATTATAAATAATAAAAACAAAATATGTTATTTTTTAGTGATAAGTTAAAAAAAAGAACAGAAATTAAATAAGAAATTATAATAGAAATTATTTATTCCGACAAAGTCGAACTTTTTGAATACGCTACAGAACAAGATTGACGCTTTAATCTTAGTAGAAGGGGTTGTTGTAATATTTTATAATTTTAGCTCGATTTGCATATCAGCTCCGATATTATAAATATATCAGTCTAAAAACATATTTAATGTGCATTTAATTATATTTTGAATTATTTTCTAAAATAAATTTGGACTTGAATGTAGGGGTCTGATTCAAAAATCTGTAACGTTTTCGAAACTATTTTGTTGCTTCTAGAATGAGAATTTTAACTAACTCCCTCTACTAGTCGAAGGTTATTTAATCAATGAAATTATAATAAATTAAATAATAATTTAATACTCAACTACAACAAAAAAAATTGTATTGTATTTGTAAAAATTATAACTGTTAAATATCGCAATTATGGAAAAATTTTTATACTCTGTTTGTCATATAAATTATTTTGTTATAAAAAATATAAATGTTTATATAAATAATTCTAATAAAAAACGAATTAAATACCAATTCATTTGTATTTGTTTTATTTAATTGAAAAATTATCGTTATAATTTAATTAATAACAAAACAAAAACGTTATTATTAAAAAACATTATTTATGTTTTATATCAAGGTCACGCCATAAATGTAATTAACATTTTGGAAATTATATCAAAATATTTTGGTAATAAATCTGTTATTTCTAATTAAATGGGATGCGAAATGGTCAGAGCTTAATATATGTCAGTTCAAACACCCCAAGTTTGCAATATATTGTTAGCGTTTTCACTTGTAAGGTATAGTAGCAAAGGGTACAATCTCTACTTTTATGATAAGAAAAATAAACAAGTAAGAGTGCTATATTCGGCTATGCCGAATCTAATATACCCACCATCAAACCGTATGCCGTAAAAGGAATGCTCTCCTATAAACATCAGGGTGATATTACTCATTAAATTTACTGATAGGACCTTATATGAGAGATAGGGTGAATTATTGACTGTTTTTATAAAATGTTTCATAATTTTTTTACACCGATTTTGGTTCATATAAAACATGTTTACATCGAATATCAGTTCCCGACACTTTCCGGTAGGTAGATTTACGTTCCTACGAAGACGTGTATTTAATAAGTACTCAGAATATAAAGCCTCTAAACTAAATCTTATTATTTCGGATTATTGAACATTCTCAGAAATTTTATTTTATTTATAATATTCATAAGTATATAATATTGTTTATTCAACTCGTATTCCCCTGGGATGTTGTTATTGACCCTTAATTAAGTAAAATTCAGGCATCAAAATTTTGTTCCTTTCTCCGAAAATCTCTATGATGCTGAAAAATCTTGTATTAATTATGATATGATCAGGTCAGAACTATAATACTTCTGATAAGAGTATATGCATTTTTCCGTTCTAATAGAGTTTACAGTTCTAATTCATGTGCTGATGTTTGTAGCACCCAAAAATACTGGTCCTACACCCACCTTACCACACACCCAATCGGCTTATAATCACTTTCTGCGTCGATTTGTACTCTTCTTTTGAACCAAGGACAAAGCCTATTGAAAATGGTTAAAATCAGTCCATTATTTCGCATAGCCCCATACAACCGTACCCCCCGAATAGGGGTCCAAGGTTAGTTAAAATGCTTTATTATTAAAAAAGAATAGTTTAGTTAGTTAGTTAGTTAGCTAGTTTGTTAGTTAGTTAGTTAGTTAGTTAGTTAGCTAGTTTGTTAGTGAGTTAGTTAGTTAGTTAGTTAGTTAGTTAGTTAGTTAGTTAGTTAGTTCGTTAGTTAGTTAGTTGTTAGTTAGTTAGTTAGTTAGTTAGTTAGTTAGTTCGTTAGTTAGTTAGTTAGTTAGTTAGTTTCGTTCGTTAGTTAGTTAGTTAGTTCGTTCGTTCGTTCGTTAGTTAGTTCGTTAGTTAGTTCGTTAGTTCGTTTCGTTTCGTTATTTTCGTTCGTTCGTTCGTTCGTTCGTTCGTTCGTTCGTTCGTTCGTTTTCGTTAGTTCGTTCGTTCGTTCGTTCGTTTTGTTGTTCGTTCGTTCGTTCGTTTCGTTCGTTCGTTCGTTCGTTCGTTTCGTTCGTTCGTTCGTTCGTTCGTCGTTCGTTCTGTAGTTCGTTCGTTACGTTTTCGTTCGTTCGTTCGTTCGTTCGTTCTTTCGTTCGTTCGTCGTTCGTTCGTTCGTTCGTTCTGTCGTCGTTGCTTGTTAGTTCGTTCTTTCGTTCGTTTCTTCGTTCGTTCGTTCCGTTCGTTCGTTCGTTCGTTCGTTCGTTCGTTTCGTTCGTTCTTTCTTCGTTTCAGTTCGTTCGTTCGTTCGTTCTTCGTTCGTTAGTTCGTTCGTTAGTTCTTTCGTTCCTTAGTTCGTTCAGTTTTTTCCCTTCTGGGTCCTTTTTTCGATACTTCTTGCCTATTTATAACCTATTTATGTACAAAAGGTTGATCGAACAAAATTTTGTATGAAAATTGTCCTTATAACCCTTTGATAAATTTTATGAATAAAGCCCTCAGACTATATAACATGTCCATTTACACAATTATTTCCAAAAATTAATCACTTTTAAATTCACTCATTGAAACTTAACTAAAATCGATTCCGAATTACCCCAACCACCCTTTCGAAAATCAGTTTATAACCTAAAAAATGTAATGAACTTCGATTTTTTCTAAAAACAATGATACAAAACTATTTAACTGACAAAATATTGCGTGATTGAATTAGTTTTTAAATTGACATTTACCAAATCATAAAACCGCGATAAAAAAGTATGTGTCTATAATTATATTTTCGAAAATAGAAATTTCCGTCGATATCACCTTTATAATAGTAATTTTTGTAATTACACATGCCGACGATGAAAAATCTTTTCATATAATTTTCACTAATACCAATGTTATTTGGCGGGCTGATTCTGAAATTTTGATCTTTCAGTCCCCGTGACTATATACTTGTTTCCCAAATAATCAATTTTATAATTTTACAGAATTTGCGAATGTTGGCCGTCTCTGCCTATAAACTTATACCCTAAGTTATAAAAATGAATTCTAGAAATTTTTTGGACGATAGGACCACGTTAACTGGTCTCGCCACGGATCTGAAGAATTCCGAGAAAATTGTGCATAATATAGAAAAACCGATATTAGATTCAGTTTCAGAAAGAAAGTTTTTTTAAAGTTATAGGTAAGTTATGGACAAATATCCGCCATACGTTATAGAATAATTTCTGGTTACATAAAACTAGGTTTTAGGTACAAAAGATAGCCTTACAAGGATACCCTAGTAGTCGTAGGAGAACTTTATATAATTATTCTGTGTTAAAACAACCACAGGATTTCCAATAACACAGTGTAACGTTACTATCGATAACAGAGTTTGTATATGTTCCCCACTAAAACTTGACATTAAGATTGACTTAGGTTCGTTATATAAAGGCCAGGTTGACCTGAAAATTTTATCCTCCACCTTATAGCACCATTCCTGATGAGTTCGTGGTTCATTGTTAACAAGGGCCTTACCCGTTTATTTCATCCTCCCATAGCACCATTCCGGGTAAGTTAGTCAGATATACAGTTACCCTGACAATTACTATGTCGAGGAACCTATATTAGTGTTAACCGCTATTTTATTAAGAAACACCCGGCATTCTCCGGTTAACCTAGATATCGTAAAGACACCCGTTAGATTTCTGATCGCAGCTTTGTTGTACATATTCAGCCATTTTGTCACACGTTTGATAGCATATATTTCTGCCTGGAGAACACTGCAGTCTGAAAGAGGATTTAATACAAAATCGTTCAATCACTGGCAACATTCGATACAACATTGGGCGAGAAGGACTCAGATACTGAATCCCTGTCAGGAATCAAGATAAGGAAGCGTTTATCTAAATGGTGCAAAGATTTGAAATGTTTTATTATTCGAGATTGCCCCATGTTATTACAACCAGACCACGAACTTCAGGCATTCTGACCGCAGAATTATGGACAAATTGGATCGCTATCTGATCAGCTGGTAATCAGTTCAGTATGGTTAACGGAGTACCTTTAGGGTTAACACCCCAGTTGGTAAAAACCACTCTTGCAAGTATAGATTGATATATTAGCCTTAGGTATTTATCGTATTCTTAATATTCAGATTATAGAAGGATCACTTCGAGGTATTTCGCAGGAGTATCCAACTTATATCATTGAGCATAAGCATCAGCAACACGTCAAGTTGAATATATTCGTGGCTAAAGACGAATTAGACGTTTTTTGTAAATTTCTGTCTTTTTCTATTGACTCTTTGTCGAACTGCTGGGTAGAAAGAAACCCCTTTCAGTCGTAGACTGAACGAGTTTATTAAGCAAGTAAATTTTACATATTTTGCTGGGATGTGATGTGCCAAGAATACGTTTAGCATCATATGATCGGTTGTGATTAATCATAGATCTTTTATGTACTTGCCTCTACTATTTAACATAAATAGATTAAAAACCACAAATGTTTTCTTTCTTACTTAAAAATACACATACCCGTATGTATTATTCTATACATAGTCGTACTGCTGATAAGACCTTGCATAAGACCATATTATTAATTATCAATTTCCTTATCAAATTTCAAGAAATAAATATTATTGAATTTTTTGTGAAATTTGTTGGCGTTAAGCAACGACTTGGAAAAACACTACATTTAGATTTAATTAAAAAAAATTTTTTTAATTGCCAGAACGACTAAAATGTGACAAAACATGACTCGAAATTTACGAGCCTGAATTCGTTTAAACTTGAAAAGCTACAAAATATAAAATTTCAAGGTCTTTAACGTGTATTAGAAACGACTTAATGTAGGGTATATTATTATAACTATTATTAGGACTTTTAGGAATTCCATAAGGGTTTTGATCGGATAGATATAGTGGCGCGAATAATCAAGTAAAGTCGAAGGGACTCCATTTTGATCGGGTAGTTTACTTCGATCCTATTATTCTACCTTATTTTGCTGCCCACATCTTAAAGCAAATTTATTAACTCTCAGTTCCAAAGTCCACATCTTTCCTACTGATAAATCTGCTAAAAATACCAACTGTAGGGTATTATATAAACATAATATTATGTACTTTTTCTTCTCTGAAACTTACATTTAACATTCCATCCCCCTTCTTAAGTCGGCAAACAATTTGACAACAATGCGGTGAAATGTGTCGCTCGTAAAATCTCTGATGACATTTATTTGTTACACTCTCATCTGAATAGATTTAAAGAAATTTATAATTATTTAAAACAAAGTAGTAGGCATTTTTT